AAAACAAACAAAAAAACCCCATTTAAACCTACCGGGTAAAGAGTTGATTTGTGTTACCAGGTTGGGAGATGGTCTCTGTGTCATTAATACAAAATAACAGTGAAGTGAGCAAACCTGTGCCATCTGTTTAGTGGAAATGGGTGATGAACAGTGATCTTTTGTTATCCATCCACCACAGAACTTTTCAAGCATCAAACAAAACTTCAATACAGTAAAATGAAAATGTCAAAACTGTACATCCAAATTAAAATATTCACCGACTTGGTTCTGTTATACGAAGCTTGGCTCATGAATTTGTGCAATTGGCCCCGATATTCACTTTGTTTTCAGGAGTTATTCCACCATTGACCACTGAGTGGAGTTGGCATAGCATTTTTTTGCTATCCATACAGTTTATGAGTTCAGCTTGCTGATATTAGGATTACCTGATAATTTGCACTGCCCCCACTAATCTAAATCTCATCTACTGGCTCCACAACCCCATAATACTGGTCAAAACTCTGTCACTAACGCTTTGAAGTCTGAGTCTGAAAATAGAGGGTTGTGCCATAGGGGCTACAACAATCTTTACATACAGTTTATGGTATGTTGTGCTTTTTCGAGAAGCTGTTTTGAAGAAACTTCTTGGCCACTGATGGGCCTTAAGTGTTCTAAATCCTTCCATCTGTACAGATTACCTGTCTGCTCCCAGATGCTATCCTCCTCCTTGGAAGGACCATCATCTAGGAAAGGTCAATTAAATAATGTCTGAAGTGAAATACCTCCCATGACATTTGGACTTGAGAATGCTGTTATGTACATAATATTACTGGCTGCTAATAACAATGCTGGTCTTTTGCAGTAACTGATGTCCTGTCATTGGTCCACATATTACTCATAATACTGATCCATTCAGATAGACAAAAACATAAAGTTTATACACTAATCTGTCTTGTATTTTCCAGCTGGTGTGGTGTTTTGTTTTTTTTGGTTCTGCACTTTAAAACACCCTGCAGTCCCCCTGTCAGTCTCTGGGGCTCACCTGAGCAGCTGCCACCACCAACACTCAAAATGAGTCCATCAGGGGTGCACCGACACACACACTTGTGCAAACTTGCCTTATTAGCTGCTCCAGATTGGCCATCCTAAAGCCCAGATGTCTGTGACCTCCCACTGCCCCCTAAATGCAAAGCTATTGTGATTAAAGCATGATTGGCAGTGCTGGTTATTAATTCTAATCTGGGCCACATATGTGGGGTGGTGGGCAGAGGGCAGGCAGCAGTGTGTGCCAGGCTCACGCCAAACGGAGGCTAATTCAGTCTGACACGCTATCAGAGCAGACTCTCACACACACATGCGTGCGACATTCCCCCGATGTGCCGACACAGCTATAGGCAACACACATTTTTCCTCTAATGCGCAGGAGAGAGGAGGCGAGGAGAGAAGGTTATCCTTTAACAAGAAGCGCGTACACATTTCACAGCACTCCAACACAAAAGTGGCATTTCCCGAAAACCATTAAGGTGCTCTGTAACTTCAAGTACATCATTTGAAAGCAGAAACAGCATGTGTTTTGCAAATCATTTCCATCTCGAGACTCGTATAAAGGTCTTACATTTACCACTTAGAGGTAGAAACTAGAGTGAAGGGTTATTTTCAAAATATGTTTTCTTTCCTTCAAGGTAAAAGCCTCGAAGCATTTGATGTCTTGTCTGTATTGCCAAGTCACTTCTCGGGTTAAGGTGTCATCTCTGTGGCTGCAGTCAGCCTGGAATTACTGCAGGAGTATTACAGGAGGAATGGACGCACTCTGATTACTCATCATGGGGATGCTGTTTTATTGTAGACTCTAATGAAAATAACAGCCAACGCATGGTGATTTAAATGTATGCAGGCTCATTTGCTAGGACTAACATCTCTTGTAACACTTGAAGTAACTTGGTAGTTGGCAAATGAAGCCATCTTTAAAAGATGTGAACAGGATTAACATTGACTATTTTGGACACTGTTGTAACTCAATGTTTTTGAAGCCACAAACTACTAATTTGCAATTAAAAAAACAGGTTTTCTGCTGCAATGATGGCTCTATTCATCTACATCGGAGGTGTGTGTGTGTAAAATCTAAGCGGATTGTAAGTAGAAGGACAGAAAGAAGGATGAGGTACTGTTGCTTTTCCTGTAGAGGGCATTGCTTTATCATGGAAGGGAATTGCATTCATGTTTTTGACACAGTTGGTTGAAAATGGCAGCAGAGAGGAACACTGTTTTTGAGGGCAGCTCAAATCAACACATTTACATGTACAGACTGGCAGATTTGGTTTAAAGTGCACAATATGAATGAATGTATGGGCAAATGTAACTAGTACTTTGAGAGGTCAGTAAGAAAACGTGTGAGTACATTGCAGCATATATGTTTTTGTGGCTCGAACACACTGTGGTCAGACTAGTTTGTGTATTTAGTATTAGTTATCTCCTTTTTGCTGGATTAAACAAGTGTAAAACCAGGCTTATGGTTGAGTAGTCCACTTATAACTCTCTAATTGAGGGAAGTGACCCAGACACACCAGCATGGCCGCCATAATAAC